CCACATACAATGTCCAGTTCACTCGACTGATGTTCACCCAACTTCACAAATTGGCGCCTCTGCGTCAAATAACTACTAATCCAATTCAAAGCCACTCCTCTGATCCCGTATTTTTCTAGCTTGCACATTAATAATTCATGATTGATTGTGTCAAATGCCTTTTTTAGGTCAATAAATATTCCTATCGTGTATTTCTTTTCATCCATGGCACTTGTAATGTCCTCCATCAGGTCGGTAATGGCCAAAGATGTCGATCGGTTCGACCTAAAACCATATTGGCAATCAGAGAGGATTTTATGTTTATCAATAAATGTATCTAATCTGTTATTAAAGAGTTTTTCCAGAATTTTTGAAAATTGTGACAACAGAGAAACCGGCCTATAATTCGTGAAGTTGTTGGATGTGTAAATGTGTTGTACATAGACAACACATTTACACATCCAACAGTTACACAGTGACTATATAATTCATTTGGACGTGCGTTTCTGGGCACCTGATGAATATAGTCATTAAATGTTTTTGGTTTCCACCACCTCCTGAGGGAATTATTCAACTCTTCAGCTGCTAAACGTATCATGTTCACCAGCTCAGCTGTTTGGTGATGAGCAGGTTTTGTAGTGTTTTTTTTTTTTTTTTTTGGCATTAGCAGACTATTGTAGCCAGAAACAAGCTAGTAGAGCACTGAGACAAACCAAAACAGTAAAGTAGTGTGCTGGAGAGCTAAACAATGAACAGAGATTCACCTAGAGCATTTCCATATAACAGTAAGATCTAGACCTGACTTTGTAAAGTATCCTGAGATGACTTTTGTTGTGATTTGGCGCTATACAAATAAAATTTGATTGATTGATTGATATGGTATATCTCAAATACACATACAGTACATTTAAGTCTGCAATAAAATCTATACTTTATAATAAAGTATACCAACATACAGTAATACAACAACCTGTTTTTCAGTTTTAATAACTATACTAAGGTATTCCTGTTCTCTTGTTCACCTTAATTTAAATGGAAAGTTTCATTACTTTCACGTGCATATGTAACAGCTGATGCAATTAAAGCTCCACATGGCGGAAGTTAATTTTTCAAAGGACAATTCTAGTGTCACAGGTTGTAATTCGTATCGTTCCGTTCCAGTAAACACATGTACTATAAAACAAACATGCAATCTTTGGTGAGCTGTTATATAATACCTCCTGCCAAAATTGGATGACTCAAGTCCCGTGTGAGTGTTGCTTGGGACAAATGACAGAGGTTAAATGGCACGTTGTAAATCCCTTGTAACTAGTTTTGTTGCATTCCTTTCGTGTATCATTGAAAAACGCCCTGAAATGAAAGTACATGTACAAACAAATACACCAGTTGAGTACACTCATGGCTTTTGTTATTACTACTACCTCCAATTCCTGTTGTATTGAGATGCCTTCAAGTCTTGCTTGTGGGAATACTGTGTGTAAATTTCAAATACACTGGTAAAATTGGTTCTCTAACCTTTCAAGGAAACTTTTCATTACAAAAACACAAATCCTATTTCATGTGTCTTCACATTACAAAACCAAATGCATTACATATGCATGTGACAGAGAAAATGGAGAAACATAAAAGGCTTTTTTTCACAGTGGATATTTTGACTTGTCATAGAATTTCCTACATGATTGATTGCTCTGTTCCATTGAAGACCCCATAAATCTGGTCTGTGATTGCATCTGCATTATCTGGATAATGACATCCGATCCACGGGTCTTTGCCATTACACCTGGTACAAATATGCCTTCACTTTAACTCATGTTTGTCCACACCGATCAGATTTTAATAGGACATTTAGTTGCAAAAACCACCAATAACCAGCTTCAGGCAAGGGAAAGCAGTGCCATGTACAGGCATCATTCATTCTTAAATAACTTTTTGCAAGAGAAGACCTGTCATTCTTTTCTGATTATGCATTATACCTTTATTAACATAAATGTTTGCAGATATAGCTTGCATGTTATTGCCAAGTGTAAATGCAGGAGAGGTGTGTCAATAGAACCATAACAGTATGAAAGTGAGACAGCACACACAAGCTAAATGGAATTCAGAAGTCATTAATTTTATTATTCACACCTGTGTTTTTACTAGCGCAACATGTCCAAAGGTTTTCTGTGAAGAAATGCTATTAACATCAGAACTATACAAAAATACAATTCAGAGGTACTTCACTTAAGTATTTCCACTATACTATACACTATTTCACATTCTCCGTCTAAAACCACTGCTTCTTTTTTTGCAATTCTGTTTGTGTAAGAATCAAACTAATTTTATAAAACCTGTTAATTACTGAGCTTTCGAGCTGCTACAGTCAGTGTTGTCTTGGCACAGAGCCAGACCAACTGTTTCCCTCGGTCCAGCTTCTAATTTGGCGTACAGATATTAGAGTGGTACCCATTTTAACAATCCTCAGTCAGAACATGAGTAAGCGTATATCCCAAAATTCAGCTCTATTTCTTTAAATGTCTATATTATAGACAACCACCCCTATATTCTGTAGCCCTGCCAAACACACAAGTACACAGGTTAATAAGCTGAATATTCTCACAAAGTGAAGCACAGGCGATATGTCATCCAGGCCCACATAGAATGTGACTTTCAAATTCTATCACCTAACCGAATTCAAGATATTATGGTTTGTTTGCTGGACCCCAGCAAACAGCCTTTTATGATAATAGGTGTGCACATGCAAAAGTGCTAATAATATGCTATTTATGTAGTTTTATGGACAGTAGTCAAACTGTAATTATTTAATGATTTAAAAATGCATCACTGTTTGGGTTGCATTCCTAGGCTGCTGTATTAAAATCATGTTTTATTAAAGTAGACATTAGCAGTAGTAGTAGATGTGGTACGTTTGCTGCAGAATGAACAGAAAAGAAGAAAGCACTGAGGCTGTATGCCACACAGAGATGGTATGTTGTGGTTTCTCAGGAAGCTGTTACCTTGACAGGGGCCTGCCTCGCTCTGAGGTGTTTCACTTCACAATTTGCTACACAGGACATTTTTCTACATCACTGGTTTTCTCCTCATTCACTACAAAACCTACAAAATTACATACCACTGCTGTGATCGTATTTCCTCTCAAAGCTAAACAAATAGAGTCATTAAAATGTTTCCAATGAGAACAATGTAAAATGATTACCACCATCACACTTGGAGGGGCCCTGTTGTACTGCACCCTTCCACAGGCAAGTACAGGCAGGAAATACGCTGCTGTCCCCCTTGTAGGAAACTCATTACCCATCCTCCACTCTCCTTTAACAGCCACGCTAAAGATCACACTACACACCACCCTCAGGGCTTTACGTGTGTGTGTGTCTGTCTCAGCTGGGCCTTATCTGGGCTGGGCGTGTGTGTCGGCAAGCATATGCTTTCAGTTAATGCATACAAGCATACATGAGTAGTTGTCTCTTTTCCATTGTTTACATCTGTAGAATATAAGTCTGTGCGTGTCATTTGAATAGCAATGCCTCCTCTTCCTGCCTTTCCTTGTATCATGGAGATTATATGAAGAAAATACCACCACCCCCTCCTCACCACCTCCAACTGGTGATTCACTGATTGTTTAATTTTCCACTGTTACACTGAGAACACAAGTTAAGTTAAGTTAAATTTAGCCATGTCAAACAGACCCAGAATACTATTGTGCAATAAATACATTGGAATAAAGAAAACTCTACAACTGTAAACTCTACTATGGTATAATGATTTAATTACTCTGTTGCAAAAAAATGGTAGCTTTCTGCCCACTTGGAATAATTTTTATCACATTGGGTGGGTAAAAGTGGTTTTGTGCTTGAGATGATTTGGGTTACTTTTAGTATCTGCAGTGGAAGTTAGGCTTCATTCCAGTAAATCTGCCCTTGTTCTTCTCCAGACTCAAGTATTATTGGAATTTATTTATATATAGACTAAACACGCACGGACAGATTACTGATGAACAACAAAATAATGTTACATTTCAGTCCATTATAACTAGGCCAAAATTATTTCCCATTCAAATATTTATTTGGTCATAGCTCAATGACAGAAACACCTGTTTCATCTATCCGTGGAGATTTTTTATGTTCAATATAAATCACAAGATACTTTACTGAAACTATAAATGAGAAGACTGGAGGCTCACTGGATTTACAGTTGACACTATGGGTTAATGAGGATAGATTTTGATTTATGGTTTAGCATCAGATTTCTCCAGTTATTATCAGCACCACAACACTAGTATATAGAGTGGGTTGGGGCAATTCAGTGTTTCATCCACAGCTATCTTAATTTATTTAGGCGGTGAAAAATTGGTGGCACACTAAACTAAATAAAACCGTAGGCCTGTTTCTTTTTCTGTAGCTTTCACTTACAACACCAAAACTAGCTCGCCTACAGCTGCAGTAAAAACAGATGTGTATTAATTGTAATGTGGACCGTTCTAAAATGTATTTGAATAATATGTAATGTAAGGTCTTTCTGAGGAGATACCAACCCCAGCCTGACTACACCATCCTTTTCCATACTGCGACACCCATTTTGATGTTTATGTGACTGGAGTGTGCTTCCTGCGGAGAGGAGCTCAGGCCTAGCTCATTTTCGCCTGCCGGGTCAGCTGCTCTGTATTTCAGTCTGAAGCCGTTGGCTGCTACTGAACCGTTTGGCTCTTTTCTCTACTAGCGAGCAAACCTACAATCTAGACCAAACTGTCCATCCAGCTCATTTTTAAGGGGATTGATCATTATATATGCCCGTGTATCCAAAACACATCGGTCACTGGGGATCCCTGGCATCGACTGGCCGGGTCCGAAGGCCGTTATAACGCTTTTTTCGAGGTTTAATTAGAGCTAGAAAACAACGGTGGTGGAGGAGGAGATTCCATATTAGGAGCACAGAGGAGAAGGCACCCCCCTTGTGTGGTTTGGAGCTTCTGGTGAGTGTTTATCGCATTTTGTGTGATTATTGTCGTTATAAATTATACCCACATGTGGAGTGGACACGCATGATTGTAAATACAAGGTTTGGGCTGGTTATTGCGATGTCTTGAGCGTTTATTTTACATGTTCTTTCGGGAGTGGGGGATGGGCAGCATCAGCGCGTGAGTAGGCGCGCGCGCAGTGCGCATGTGTTTGTAGGGCAGAGCTCGTGCGTGGTTTGTATTTGCGAGCTCGTCCTTCCTTCCTGCTAGTTATGAATTAAAAGCATCTTGGTGATTTTTATTTTTTTTTTAATCTCATCTGTTAATCAGCCGGTATCATTTATAACAAGCTAGTAGAAATAACAATGAGACTATTTTACTTAGTCTAACTTTTGAATTAACTCTTTAGCTTTATTTTTGTTAATTCAATTATGGAGCCATACTTTCATTACTTAACTAACTTCTTGTTTCAGCACACTTTGTACCTATATTGATAAACTCTTAAGTATTAAAATAAGTTAGAATTTTGTCCCACAGTTGTACTTAACCAGTTTGAAGTGTTACTCTTTACAAACTTATTATTACCACAGATTAAGCTTATATTGCAGTTTAGCCTTGGTTGGCTGCAACATACAGTAGATTCCTAAATGTGCCAATATCCATAGTATTTTTTTGTTTTTGTTTTTTTTGCTTTATGTCAATTTTATACAAGGATTACTAGAGTCCTGTGCAGCTGCTCCAAAGCCCTGGCAGTGTGGGGGAGGGGTGAACACACACAGACACCCAGGAGGGCCACTTGCCAACCTTGTGAAGCTCAACTCAATGACACAATGTACCAGTCCCAGATAAGCCTTCAGTATCTGTGCTAGGAAGGCATGGGTTGGTAATACAGACTCTGGTTAACCAGAGTTGAAAAAATAACTAATTAGGTTAAGGTATTTTAGGCATTCGCTGAAACTTAAGTCATATGACCATAACACTTTTAATTTCTACGAAATATTTTCTGTTATCCTGTTCACCGTGTGATTGTTTTTTTCCCACATTGTTTTGTTCTGGTTAGATGTTGGGTAAATATGTATGAGAACGTGTCCTGAAGTGCTGAAACCATGATTTAATATATTGGAATGCCTTGGAGTGCATTATTTCACATTGCACCATGGCCATTTTCCAAAGGGAAAAGAGGCTGTGTTTATGTAATTTTATTGGATGTTTGAAGCTTATACTGCTATTGATATTTGAACAGTATAATAGTGCTTTAAACAAATACACAACTTCCATAGGCGAACTGGTAATCTGGAGATTTTGTCAAATGTCAGATTGGCTGGTTGGCCTTCTGTGTAGATGGCCGTCAGTCCTACTAACCATAAAATACATAACCCAAGTTAACAGTGCAGAAACCAGTGATACAGGTTCTGCCATGGTTCCCATCATTTGCTACTGTCATTAAGGTGTGTTTCTTTAGGTTTAAATACAACACTTGATGTGGATTCATGCTGTATCATGGTCACCCATGTTACTGCCACTGATATATAAATAAACTAGACAGACCCACCGTGACGTCACCCGTTGGTTTTCTGAAGAGCAGTTATGAAGCTTAAGTCTGGCCATCGCTATATTGGTAGTGCTTCACCCTGCACTACGTCTAATCTAAAAATGTGCACAGAGGAGTTTGAGTGGAGCTCTCTAGACTGCGAGTGGCCAACCGCCTATGTGGCATAAAAAAAACTTGTTTATTTCTGCTGTAAAGTTGAACATTTTAACGTGAGTTTGTGGGGATTGACTCCCCTTTGAAGCAAGCCTCAAGTGGCCATTTGAGGAACTGCAGGTTTTGGCACTTGCGTATTGCCTCAATTTCTCAGCCTCGGAGGTTGCTGCCTGTTAAACAGAAGCACCAGATGCAGCCTATGTTCTTAAACACACATCTTGCATACTCCAGAGAGTTTTTTTTTTTTTTTTTTTTTACACCAGATTGAACAAAAGATGTAAATATTCTTACTGTAGTGCTTCCTGAGTTTGGCCTGCTACAGATGCATTGCTTGCTGGGTAAATGGAGCAATGGTTGTGGACAGGAAACAGGAACACAAAATTTAACATTTCTCAGGATGGACAGAAAATGCAAAGAAAAAGTTGGCCAGGAGAAAATAAGACAGAAAAAACTTTAAGCACTTGAAAGTGATGCCTCCCAGTGCTGAAAATTAACAGACTTATTTCACAGCAGCAGCTGTAATGTCAGCAGTAATAGAGGGAATGTAGGGAGCCGGGAGGTGAGGGATGCAGGGATGTGACAGAGGAGGAAAATGAGGACTAGGGCCATCGTGTTGACAAATTAAGAGTGGTTTCCCACACTAAAGTGATAAGTAGGAAAAGTCACAGCTGGGCTGTGATATGAAGCTCAAGTCAGCAGCAGTAGTTGCCGACTAGAATGGAAAGCTCTGGATGCTCTGGAGTAGAGGAGGGCACGTGGTAGGTACAACAGGTAACAAGTCAAGTAACTAGTTCTGGTGATGAGGTGATCAGGTTGGGCCATTTATCACTCACCATAGCTATCATGTGCTAAATTAATAAAGAACAAATAATAAAAATAGCATAGAAAGGTACAAGATAATTTACATGTAACCTTACTAGGAAGAAAATATTCCTTTTAGGTTACTGAGACAACCCTGCCAGTGCGTGGACTGCGTTCATTTGCCAATTATGTTGGGCTGCTCTGGGTCAAACTCCAGGTCCCAGTCTGACCCTGACGGCATCTGGGGTCAGTGGTTGGCTGTAGTTTTATGGTTTTTCGGGCATCAATGTCTATAGTTGGCCCTAATCATTCACTGTATGATTGGATGAACACGCTGAATATATCCCATATATCTGAATTTGTTTTCCTACCACATAACAAGGCTGTTTAATCAGATGTTTTCTGGACTGGGATCAGTGACTACTGTCTAGTTATTTGCATTCACACAGGTGCACAGCATATGTGCATGTCAGCAATCAGATGTGGTGTATTCAAGTGCAACTTTTAAAAGACAATGTGGCAACACATCCTGCAGTCTTTGTTTGCACTAGTACACTGAGGTTGGCTTAATGTGTTAAGTGAGGAAACCTTTCAAACAAAGAAAAGTATTTTTGTGGCCAGTGAGAGTCTGTAGCTCTTTAATGCCAACAAAACAAAATCAATGGTACTAAGGATATGCATGAATAATTGCTTATTTGATTAGTCAAAAAGGTCAAAGTTGTAGAATATTTTTAAAAAATTGGTGCATTTTTTTTCTTGCATTGTAAAAAAGCAAAACCAAGTTTTATGACACTCCTGGCTGTGTGCTATACACAGTTCGCACAGAGAGCAGGCAGGAGATATTTTGGCAGATTCAGAAAAGCAACGAAGTGAAGTGTGATATTATTTTACTCAACTGGAAAACATTGTTGACTGCTTATCATGTGGGATGAAGCTACAGTTCTTTTCACAGTCCTACCAGCACGATTTACAACACCATGAAATGTTGAGCTTCAGCAACAGAAAGATGAGATGGGGCGACAATGCAAAATGATTGGATTTGCTGCTCCAATATGTTCATGTGACAGCGAATGACATAAATAACTGCTTTGGTGATTAAATTATTTCAGACAATATGCTTCCTCTTAGTATTGTTGAGGGGGTGGGATTTCACAGGCTGATGGATTTAGTGGAACCCGAATACATTTGCTGCATTTCCACTATTGGAACCTAATTAGCAGTATACCCCGTACTTCACCCTACGTAAGCCCCCAGTTTGACATGGACATCCTGCTTTGTTTTTCCACTGTGTTTTCCCTGTGTTGGTCTTTGTTTAGACGAGGGAGGGGCTGCTCCCCTCTCATACATGCAGACAGCTGAGCAGAGGGAGAACAGATATCACTCCATAATGCAACAGTCAGTAATGGAGACTGTATTTACAGTTTGTCAAACAGCTGCTGAACAAACAGAACACAGACTTGTAGAAATGTGACGTCTTCACCACTTTGCCCATAGTCCACTCACTGAGGCCCCCGTTTTTCCTAGAAACCAATAAGTGAAGCCTCATTTTGCCTCTAAAACAGCAGATGTGCTTCTACAGTGCTAATGTTTGAGGTGTGGAGAGCGGACGTTTAACCAATCATTGGCAGCTGCTCTAGGCGCACACACCCCTTCCCCCCTGCGTTCCTGGAACTTGATTTTAGTGCTACCTCCTGAGGGGTGCTGAAATGTAGCTCCTGGACCGCACCTCCAGAGTGGGCAGGCACATGGTAGTGGAAACAAATGCAGAACCTGCGTTACTTGGCTCGACGTGTTTCAGAAGGTTCCTGTGATTGGGAAACCCCTGTGCCTTCCCAAAAGACAGTTACCAGGCGAGTCGAGAAAAGGTGCACAGAAGCAGCTACTGCTTTAAAAAAAAAAAAAAAAAAAAAAAAGACTGATGGAAACTGTAGGATATGGTTCGTCTTACCATTGCTAACTCTGAGAGACGAGGCAGTCCAAGTAACTTCAAAACAGTGCTGATTTATTCAAAGGATCACAGGTAAAATTAACATTACACGCTCAGGTATCTTGCACCTCCAAACTGCTCGCAGGCAGATGTAAGATGAAAGACCCTGAATCCACCAGGCCTATACATTATATCCCTTTGGTTGGGCTAGCCCCATACTACACAGAAACGTCAACCATGACGTCTCTGTTGCCAGCTTTGCAGCTGGTCATAGCAGTAGTCAAAACATGAAGCAAATCAATGTGTGTGTGTGTCTGTTGGTTAAGTGGTGTGTAGCTAAAAACATTCTCACGACCTCTAGTAACATGTCGTGGCTTAAACATAAGAACCTATTATGGCTAAGGCTACAGTTATACACATCATAATAATAATATTAAACATCCTGTCTGCTGACAGTCATCAACTCTTCTCTCTAGTTATCCTTGACCAGATGTACCCTGTAGAAACTCATAAGCATGACTAAGCATTTAACAGTCTAACTAGACATCCTATCTCCACTAAACATTTCTAATACATAAAGTA